GGGGATTCGAACCCGCGACCCTCAGATTGCGAGTCGAGCGACATAACCACCTGGCCATGCCGGGCCGGTTCCATTGTTTTGTCGATTATTCTCACCTCTTACAAGAATTACACAAACGTCTAAGATTCGATAAGTTAGTGTAAATTATTAGTGTACAAAATATTAAGGATTTTTGTTGACGCAAAATATAAAGGAAAGTTCTTCTAATGTTTATGTTTACGGGTTTTCGTTGACGATCAAATTAACCTGCCTTTAAGGCCTTCTGCTGTAATGTGGAGTTGAGTATTGAGTTTTGGTGTATCGTCTTGTTAAATTAGATCGGAATACACAACGTTAAAATGTTTGATTAATCATTTACATGATGGTCGATTATCCTTCCCCTATGATCAATAGGTAGATTAATAATCTCCATTACGGTCAGTAGAAAAGTGCAGTAGGACATTATTAATATACAGGGCTGGATTAAGCTTTAGTGGGGCCCTGGGTTCAGGTAATATTTGGGAATAGTAATAATGCCTCACTTTTGCCTCTATTCTACTAGTTTTACGAGTCATATTCATTGTGGCCGGCAGAGGCCCCTGTATGGCCGTGGCCCTAGGAAGCCTGTGCGTTAATTCGGTGCTGTTAATATAAAACGTGCGTGTTTCTAGTTTCCCTGGTACTTGATCTGCAAAGAACGCAGTTTTTCAAATAGAGCTTTTGTGCATGAGTGAAAGTTTACGGTCTGTAGACGGAAATCTGATAAAATGGCCTTTACCATTTACAAACCGGTAAAGGCCATTTTATCAGATTTTGGTCTACAGACCGGTAAAGACCATTTTAGCACATTCCGTCTACAGGCTAGTAAAAGCCATTTTATCAGATTTCCGTCTACAGACCGTTAAAGGCCATTTCGGCGGATTTCCGTCTACAGACCTATAAAGACTATTTTAGCACATTTCCGTCTACAGGCTGGTAAAAGCCATTTTTATAAGATTTCCGTCTACAGACCGTTAAAGGCCATTTCGGCGGATTTCCGTCTACAGACCGGTAAAGGCCGTTTTAGCAGATTTTCGTCTACAGATCGATAGAGGCCATTTTGGCGGACTTTATCTACAGCCCAAAGTCCGCCAAAATGGCCTCTATCGATCTGTAGACTAAAATCTGCTAAAACGGCCTTTACCGGTCAGTAGACGGAAATCTGCTCAATTGGCATTTACCGGTTTGTAGACAGAAATCCGTCAAAATGGCCTTTACCAGACATGATTATAAAGTGTGGTTTATATTTAATGTGAAATAAACTCATATTTCGTTATACTGCTTACAATCTTCATATTTTTATTGGTCTAAACTTCCAACCATTTTCATTTGCACAAGGAAAGGGTCATAATTGATTAATTCGGTGATATGTTGTTGTTATTTTTTTATGTGCAATTGAGGTTTTAAAAACTTAATGGCATATATGAAAAAGATTTGAGTATTAACGTTTAAACAATTGTAATTAGCCTCTTGTGATTATCAGGCTGGTAACATGTCAAGTTGTAAGTGATTTTTGAATTTATTTTTTCTTCTATAAAGTGAAAATAAAATTTGACCCTAAAAGTTGTCCAAAATGGCTCAGTATGCATCTGAGATCATGCACAACCCCAGAGCTTTTGGGAGTCTCCTAGTCAGCCCCCAAATTTTAGCCATGCACTTGCGTATGAAACACGCAAGTTTTGTGGCAAAACACTGAAATTATACACGGATTCTTTATGAGTATGTATTATTAGCACCTTATAACAGTAAATAGATGACACTTTTAGGGCTAATGAATCTATTAAATCTCAATTTGAGGAAAAATATGTGCTTCTGGCACCATCTTTTTTTTAATCCGTTAGCACCTCCTAACGAATGGTTAATGAAATATTTTTCTTGCACAAAGTTGGTTTTCTCATAAAAACCATCTGAACATTACGTAACTGTTACGTACCGAGTTAAAGCACCAAATACGGAAATGTTTTGCAATTGTAACTCTTCCTGATATCTTCCACGTCTTAATGCTACAACGTTGAGAGGAAACTCAAATTGCTTCGATAAGAATCACACTAAATTTCCTTATTAATGACGTATCTAAGCTACTCAATACTTGGCTCTAGTTAATGAACTTAATGGATAAAGATGGCCATTTTGATTAGATCGTAGCCAGTGCTTTTCGTACCTTCATCACGAGGAAAGTTGGTAGTTATTTTTGCCTCACACTGTAGCCTCTTCTCCTCCAGCCTCGCTTGTTGATCCATGTATTTCCGGGAGTAGTGTTCCTCCCCGGGTAGCTCCACCTTTAACAAAACAACAACAACAACAACAAAAAAGATATTATATAATGGTATAACTCGAGCTCCAGAAGCTTTTAATTCTAATCCAGTTTATTTGTTTATATTTTTCTCTCTAAATCCAAACTGTTTCTAAACAGGTGATTCAATTCTTCATTAGCTCCCCCCGTGTGTTGCCGTACAAATCAATACCCACAGTGCCGGCTCCAGCATTTTTAACCTTGGAGGTGAGGGTGGGGAGGGGGCAATGAGAAATATAATGTAAAATGGATGTAAAATTAGATCAAGGCAGAGCATTAGCTTGGGGGGGGGGGGTGCAACGACCAGCATTTTTAACCTTGGTGGAGGGGAGGGGGAAATGAGAAGTATAATGTAAAATTATATCAAGAGAGAGCATTAGCTTGGGGGGACGACATTTCAGAGGACCTGTCCCTCCCGAGGTGTACATAACCAATTATTAAACTTCAGTAGTACTTACGAGTGCCGAAGAAAGCCAGAAGACGAATAAGCACTAAGACACTTTGCAACAGTAGCTTTAAATGGATTAAACGGATAGGTTTAATTAGAAACTAGGAATCATTAAGAAATTTAACGGCAAGCCACTTGTCATGTGTCATAGTGAAACACGTAATTAAAAAGCCTCAGTAATGTTATATACTTCGAAGCTTTCCGTTGGCAGAACGTGTTCGTTTATTTCCGTAATGCAGTTGCATAGCGAACTTTGAAAAGTGCATTATCAAGTTTAACTGGTCATTTGGAAATATCAAGTTTAACTGGTCATTTGGAAATATCAAGTTTAACTGGTCATTTGGAAATATCAAGTTTAACTGGTCATTTGGAAATGAACACATCATTTATTCTGTATGATATTTTAAACAGATGGCCGTGGAGGCTGTTCGTTTAATTTGATGTAATCGTTTACAAGGCTTCACGTTTTTAGTGTAAATGGCCAGCATTCTCTAGTTCTAAATTCGGTGACGAGGAAACCCACTTTGTAGTATT